GGTGATCCGCGCAAACTGAAGTAGTCGATCGCCGTTGTCTGTTCGCTGGGCAGGGAAGGCAGAGTGCCCTCCTAGACAGGCTTCGGGTGCGCTCAGTTTTCCAACCTGTGCGTTGAAGTCACCTGCCAGAACTATAATACCAAAGTCGCGGCTCAATCGAATCAGTTCGGCGAAATTGTCGCAAAATTCGTCTTTTTGTGAAGCGGGACTGCAGTTGGTTGGTGTATACGCGGAAATTATGAACAAACACCTTTGGTGTTGTTTCCCTTCCGAACACTACCTGAATCCTGTAGCCTCATTGCGCACAGACGACTATTGACAAGTATCCAATCTATCATAGACGCTTCAGCTTTATCGTTTGGTAAGATCCCTACACCACGTTGACCCAATGAGCGGGCTTCGTTGTTTCCTGATGTGCGCAGGAAATACCTCGAGGACAGACCCGGCGCGCTTAGGCGGCTTAAAATACTAGGATCCTGAATTCACGTCTCCGATACACAACAGACATCGATTTCTAGAGACTGCATTGTACGTGCAAGATACGCCTGTTAACCCACCTGCATAGAAGTTCTCATGTTGAAAGCCCCAGATTGAGAGGCTGACAAGGCTTCAGAATCGGCACTTTATTTACAGGAAAACTAGTTACAGTGCTATTTGGCTAGTAACGACCAAATTGTCTGATTGAATGTTACGGGTTGGAAGAAGGAGGTAAGGGGAGAGGGTTGGGTACGGAAGATAAAGAGTTCAACAAAGGTTGAGATATCTGATCAATAGCCCACTTATCATTACCCACCCCGCTCGATGCAATGGGCATCGCGGTCTTGATTATCCTGCGCGACGACCGATGCAGTATGAAATTTTGTTTTTATGTTAATTGGAGCTTCTGTGTTCGATCCCTGTTCTCTCCTAGGCATTGCTTGTGTTTGGTGGGGATCAGTTCAGTTCATACAACCATGAACCATGCACTTTCGTGCGCCGGTTTCGGTTCCTGTCTTTTGGTTGCCCATTTGGATAAAACAGCAGAATGATGATTAGAATTTTGAGAGCAGATTCAAGCGAAAGATAGCACATTTTCATAGACTAAAGCCACAAGAATAATGAGTAGATTCATGAGCGCCACTGTTTGCAACACCCAGCCATATCACTCAGTGTCTCTAACCATCGATGATCATGATTTCTGGGTCCCCAGGGAGCCTAAGGGCACCTATGTGAGCCATTCTCCTGGTCAGGGTTTTCGTACCCTCATGCGAGGTCTTAGCTTGACCACTCTTGACTTTTTTCCACCTACTACCTACCTTGGCAAGCATCGCTCGCCGTGGTAACCTATCTGGTGACATGCCTAACACATGTCCTACCAGCGTAATCTATGGAGGTCGACTACCTGTTCCAGTGGACGACCGCGGTTACCTAAAACTTTACGCCTAACCTCAGCATTGCTCGTCCGGTTTCCCCACCAGACTTGTGCAATACTATGTAGACAGCGGTGTTTGAACACCGACAATCTATTTTTATCCTGTTCCCGTAATGGCCAAGTCTCTGCGCCGTAAAGCAGAATTGGCCGAACTGCTGCAGCATGTACCCTTCATAGACAACTGGATGTCGCGACGGCGCCACAGATATCTCAAGTTGGCAAAGGTCAGCCGAGCTTTCTGTATGCGCGCCGACACTTCATCTGTGATGCGTTCACCGGGTGAAATGTAGCCGCCTAAGTAACAAAATTTACCCACTCGCCCTATTACTTCCCCAGTTAGGGTGAGGCTGGGGACTGGGCCAACCCAATCTTGGGGCAGCATTTTACACTTGGTATGTGCAAAGCGCATACCGAACATCGCTACAATAGCACTCAAACTATCCAGAAAAGCTTGCAACTTACCTAGTGGGAATATTAAATGAGCAATGACCAGGTTTGTCGTCGTGTTTTGGGTGCGGATGACCGTTCGCTGAAAGAAAATTCACTGTGAACCGGGTTCCGAGGGTTCAGTCACGAATTACGTTTGCCTGCTGCTCCTCTATACCTCTCCGTGCTCTTTTTGCACGTTTTAGGTAGGGCGGAATGATCTAACTCTGGGATATGAAGAACCTTTTTCAGCGTTGGCTTCGGTTGGTAGAGCTCACGTTCTAGTTTGGGGTGAAAGAGACGATGACGGTCGTTGGTTAGAAACATTGGGCAATATGGCCCAGAACAAGTTAGTGGCGCCACGTTTTACGGTCTGTCTGGTGAAATCCTATTTTCCATCAGAGATACAGAAGAATAAAGGGATAAAATAACGTCAAAATATATGTGAACAAAAATGACAAACATTC